CCCAGCCCTCGTGCTTCCTTCGGGTGGCATGGCAGTTAGGCACAGAAAGGGTGCTACAGCTGAACTATATATATATACATATATATATATATATACATGTATATACAATATGTAATTCGGAGGCTTGAAACTCGATGGACAATTACTGATTACTAGAAAGTGTTTGCGAAATTTATAGAATTCACTCCCGGAGTTCGAACAACCTATTACGTAAATGGACGTGCCTTTGTGATGAGCTCTAATAAGAGCGAAACCCGAATGCAATGCTTCCAGTCCTTTGGCCTAGACTCACTCGAATAATTGCTCCAGGACCGGAGAACGGCTGTTCAAGGGAGAGTGACTTAACCGTGAATTCCACAAGTCCCACGAGCACCTGTGATTGATGGATGTTTACACGTTCAGTTACGAACAAGTTTACCTCAGTAGGTTGGAGGTTTATTGGTTGTACGAGGTGGAGAGATCTAGTTTGCTGGTGATATATTTCTTCGGCAGCCTGACTGTGACTGGTTTTCTCTTAACAATGTTTAAGATTGCACCTGCTATTTACAAGCAAACAAATCGCACATATATGTGAAATTATCACCACCCCGCACCTTCTCCCCCCCAAAGTGTGACAGCCACTCTGGCAGCAATCGGAGCCGCAAGCGTGCCCGGGGCTGGATTGGTGACAATGGTTCTCGTGCTGACCTCCGTGGGATTACCTGTCAACGACATTAGCTTGGTTCTTGCAGTGGACTGGTTGCTGTAAGTTTGTTTGTTCAAATAGCATTAAATGAAATTGCCCGTGGTAGAAATTACTGATGAACCTTAAACCAACTCGTAGTTCCAGTGCCATGTACCTCCCGTTTCTTGCTTGTGTAGCGTTCTCTGTCAGCCCCCCTTTAGTTTGAAGCGCTTCTTTGAGGAGCCCCCCCAAGAGTAGTCATTATATGACGGCGATCCCCTGTTGGTGGGTTAGCGTGTTCGGAACCACGTGCGCCAGAAACTTGATAAACAGTGTTGTGGATAAACCGAGCCAGGCGCATGAACTAACAGAGATGGAAACAATCCAGTGATTTGCTAAATATCACTGGAAGCGTACATCAGAGGTAGGGTGCTTATGTATCAAAACTGAAGTCGAAATAACACAATAACCAATCCCTGACTTCCAAATAATATCACAAGTATTTTCATCCTGCAAGTTCGACCAGTTTATGCAGAACAAGTAGGTGAGTTTCATCATTCATGAATGTAATGCTGAAAGAAGGGATCGATTACGACTGTGACTTGATTGAGTGAAACAGTTGGTACATAGACTTCCTGGTCTCAGCCTTCAAACTATTGTCACTCACCTATGACGAAATATACCGCTAGGGGATCGTGTCGCATTGGGACCCTTTACAGACTTCTTCATGAGCAAGGCCGAAAACCGATCATTAGGCCCGATAATCCAATAATTTTCCGCAAGAACACGATAGCACAATCAGATCTGGAATACTTACGGATGAAAAACCATTTCCAGACAACCTTTTCTATACACCTTCTTTTGGTCCAAATAAACAATGTTAACCGACGGAGACAGTAAACTGGATTTAGCCAGGGTAAATATGGATGGTAAAGAGTCAGAGTGTTTTCAGAACGAAGGTGGAGTTTGACGGTCACATGCGACTTTCTGACCACGTGAGTGCTGGTGTTTGGACAAGGAAAAGGTTTGCAAATAGTTACGCGAACGGGTTCAGTAGTGGCTAAAATCCTAGATGCAGCCGTTTAGGCTTGGGAGTTGGGCCAAAAAACCGAACTATTTGCAGCACGCCGGCATGAACCCGTCGAAAGGTATTCAGACATATTTTGAATATTTATTTCGCCATCCGGCTGGTATATCCATCTTCACAGAAGTAAACAGCCTGATAATCAGAAGAAATATGTGGTAAGTAAGCTCGGTTCCCTTGTGCTGTCTGTTGGGGAATAAAACTCCCCAATATGTCGCATCGAAAGTTCTTCTAAAGCCACTGGAACATAATCTCCCCGGATTTTCTCTAAAATCAGTGTTCTGCTTGAAAATGAATGGAACGTAACTGCTAAACCGTCCCTGCCATGTGGTTCATTTCGGAATAGATGTGCATGGATGCCGATTCTCTTCGAGTATATCGATATTCCTGCGAGTAAGGGAACCTAATGAATGTGAGTTCAAACAGGAAAAAGCAACCCAACAAACAGGAATTCAGTTATGATGCTGTTTGCATGAGGAACTAAGCATATGTAGTTTACTTCTGGAAACAAGCAAACTGTGCGGGACTTTTCGAATTGCTTCTCCAAGGGTGCAGCATTTTTAACGCAAATCCGTCAATGGACTATGGAGCTTGCAAATGGATGTCCTAAGTGGCAGTAAAGACCAAATCTAGGATAGCTATGTACTTTGTTGCTCATTTTCCTCGAAGTGTGTCTCACAAATTAGTTATCTCGATCCCAGGGGCCTACAATATCGAGTGCAACTTAGAAATTGCCGCATTTGCAGCACGGATCAAGTTGACCTTGACATCGCAGGCTGTTCAGGTTGTCACGTGATGAATGACTGGCTGACCAGAAGCCGGAGTTCAGTTGAAGTTCACAGACGACTTGCGATATATGTTTACTACGTCTGAATTATTTCGGCTGGAGGAAAGAACTTTTGATATGAGTACAAATCAACCCAAGGTTCTGTCGCATATAAAGTTTCGAACGATCATTACATGGAGTAGAAGACTGAGGCTGAATTGTCTGGTAGATTTCACACCGCAAAATCAAGCAACCATTGGTTTTGTGGGAGGAATTTTTCCGTAATGAATCTTTTGAACCTGCAGACTTTCCTGACTTTTCAGTTTTGCACGCGGATTCGGTGAACTGCTTATATTTTCATTATAATGATGAAGAAATGCACCAGGCTATTTGAAATTCTTTCAGGCATGGACCCAGTGGCTAAATTCAAGGACTACACCGAGATGGAAAGATGGAGTGTGTGTTTGCATTCAACCTACTAAAGTTGATTTGTTCATTTTCATCGAGATTTTATGATCAACTAGTCTTCCAATCGCATTGTGGTGCATCAAAAGCAACTGATACGGATTTAGATCAAATGACAGGATGCTGGACCACAATTTGTGCTCACTGGATGAGCCAATCGTCAGTCGATCAAGTGATATGTGCATCACGTGATTGCCGATTGGGCGATGGTGCATCCTGCGTTAGCACAAGCAATACTACTGCTGAAGTACTTACGATCGAGTAGTGCAGCGTTCAATGTCTCGGGTTCGAATTCTCGAAGAGTAATGAACACTACAGATAATTTCCGAAAAAGATAGGAACGCTTTGTTATGCAAAGGACCACAACTTGGGATGAAGAAGCAAGTCCGAAATACACCTTCTACAGAGGTCATGAAGTCTGGGATAGAGGAGCAGACGAGGATTTTTTCGGATTTTCCACTGGGAGTTTTCGTTGCGATATACAATTTTCAAAACTCATCGAGAATAATTAAGTTTCTCCTGTTGCAAACTTGACTACTTATTGCAAAGTCCGTTCAAGTCATCTCGCCAACATTAGTGAGTAAACTCATGAGATATTCAGACTTGGACGTGTTGTGAGTTCCTTCTTGGTCCCCTTCGTATCTCAATATGAATTAGTCTCAGTAAAGCACCACTGACCCAGCTTGAGGACTAAGTGCAAAAGTGTGAATTATTGACTGACCCATGTTTTCCTAACCCACCCACATCATTCAGGGACAGATTTCGAACAGCCGTCAACGTGATGGGTGATTCGTTCGGAGCAGGCATTGTGGCTCATTTGTGTCGCAAAGAGTTGGCAGAAAATCCAGCAACAAGCAAATCCTCCGTGAATGCTGCTACAGCCTTTGAAGGTGTCATCTATCGGTTGAACTCAGACATGGAGCTGAAGCGGTATGAAAACGCGGATGAGACAGAAACACGGAACTTCTAACATCCCCATGTGTCACTAACGTAACTTATCTGCTTGTGTTCATTATATTAACCAATCTTTTTTGATTGTGGATTTTTTCCACATAGCAAAACGATTACCTTTCGGTTCTTCTATTTAATGTTTGAATTGGTAAAATTTGGACGGGCCTCGCATTGACACCGCCTCTAAAATCATCCTTTGAATGACTTTGATCAGGTAATTACTTTTATTCGAAAGTATGGCAGACAGCATAAGGTCATCAGCATAGATCCTCAAGGGCCTTGAAAGGCGCGCTCAGTTTCTAGCCAAGATGGGTTGACTTGAACATTTTTATTCGAAAGTTCTGTCGAATGATGCTTAGTTGAGCAACATCAAGTTGAAGGGATGAAGAGGAAACCTGGAAACCAGCATACAGAGTAGGGGTCCCTCTTCTCCGTTAGATTTAGCTAGGCATCACAGATTCTACTCATTGGGACAGCTAACGTTAAAGCAAGCTGGTATAACTTACGGTGGCAGCGCCGATTAAATTATAAAAAAAATCTGTGGGGTAGAGCTTAAACAAATGTAATAAGACTGCTTGCAATCTAGTGCACCTACCATATGTTCACACATGACAGATGAATAAGATAACACGTGTATTCTACCTTTTGAAATAACGAGTAGAGATAAACAAAGGTGTACGAACCAACGAACAATAGCCAGAAAAGAAACGTACTAAATAACAACCAAAGTCAGATGACCTGGTTGCATGTCCTTGGTCTGTCGATCGTTCACCACCTGAGCAGTGTTGAATAAGTCAGTCGTCTTTCGGCCTGGAGTGATGGATATCCTAGCCCATAATCGATTCAGGGGCACTGAGAATCAACTGTTTGATCAACTGCCTCTTAACACCTGATTATTTGCGAAAAACGTCTGTGTGCATAAACATCTGGGTTGATGTTCGATATCGGGGGCTTATATTTTTCACCCAGGTCCTAATATTGACCAGCGGAGTCACATAAACTTTTACATGCAGCCGTTTGCCTCGAAGATAACATGTCCTACGGGAAGACAGATCCCTTACCTTTGAAGAACTATGTGTCATGCCAAAAGAATCGTCGGAAAGATCTTAGCAAAAAAAGTAAAGTCACCCTTTAACTGGCCCTATGATTTGGTGAAGTTTTCCAACAATAATTAGTAGTATGACAAATACACTCATCTGCATATCAACTGGGTTTTCACGGGCGACTCAGATGAATCTCTCATTTATGATATTTTTCAACGAAATGTGCTGCACAAGGGCCGTCTCTTGTCTAATTGGGTACGATATTCGAGACGTCGCAGTATTTTTTCATAAATAACAATACTCACAAGATTGCTGAAAGCTCTTCGACAACCCACGATTAGTTTTCCCCTTCTCGGCGCTCATAAGACAGGTACAGTCCCAGAATTTCCGTTAATTTTATACTCTACTTGGTCACAAATTGCATGAAATTTGACTAGTGCACTCACTTACATGTCAATTCTGTTTTGACGGGGGCCCCTCTAAGGGCAAGTTTGATCTCTCGTTTATGATGTTCAGTTAGAACATAGAGTTGACGGAAACTTCGAGAATGTGCCCGTCTAATTAGGTTCAGGAAAGGCAAAACCAGTTATGGGCTGTCAAAGAGTTTTCCGTTGCCATGTGAGTAGCTATGAAATTGTAGTACAGCTGAAAATGAATCCTGTGGTTAAAACCTGTTAAACACACATAAAATCCGTTCCCCGATGACCAAAAAGGACTTACAAGATCAAACTTAAAATGCAGGACAGAGGTGCTCTTAACTTTCAACACCTTGACTCTTTTTTATTTGATTGTAACCCCCACGGAGCCTGTTCATTTGTGGTCCCACCGTAGGTAACCTGGATAGTTAGGTGTTTGGTGTTGATTCCTTTCTTTATATGCGTATTTTGTACAACATGCTTCCGCGTTTTGTTGTTTCCGTTTTGCGCCCATACCACTTTCTTGTTTTTGGCCTGAAGGTAAACTGCTCTTTGACCTCGTTGTCGCACATTTAGTTTTAATCAAAATGTGGGTTTCGCCACCTTTTAGGGTTAATTTACCCAGATTTGGCGTGATCTTTGGGACCCCTTTCGGAATTAGCACATAACTCAACGTGACCCAATAAAGAAATAATAATAATTGTTTAGCTGTAGCATCCTTTCGGTGTCTAACTGCCATGCCACCCGAAGGAAGCTCGAGGGCTGGGATACTGCAAGGTTTTCCAAGCCTAGATAAAGAGATGCAGAGACCAGGTTCGAACCACGGACCTTCTGTTCAGTAAATTTGCAATCTAACCACTGAGTCATCTCACCTAACCGGTCCAGATGATTGGTGGAAACAATCGATACTTAGTTACTGTTATTTTTCGGCCTCTGTCCTATCGCCAACCCACTGATCTTGCCTAGGAGATTTACCTCCTGTAAATAAAGCCATTCAATGCTGAAAAGTCGGGGATTTCTGTACAGCTGTCCCATCGCTATTGGAAACCATCAGCAGTGCGCACCCCACGAAACTCCAAAGCTCAGAACCAAGAGGAAGAATAAATTTACATTGTAAGACTCGCGCTGTTATGGATCTCACAGGACGATTGCGGCTATTAGATTCATAGTCAGTAAACAGTAGAAGCAGACAGATGATGTATTGAGGACTGACAGGAACTGGTTCTACAGACAAACGGATTAGTAATCACCATGAATTAAGCAAACGTACAATCAATAATGACGCAATCAGCAGGAGCTGAAAATAGTCACTGAGGCAGCAGGGATTTCTAGAAGCAACATCAAGTAAGCAATAAACTGTGTACAAACATACATATAGGGGCGGTCTGACAGTGTGAGTTGGCCGTATTCAGAGATAACGGCGCAGGAATCAGTACGTTTGAGATGTGAGGGACTGTCTTTTGGTTGGTGGCGCGACGCGGCAGCTCGTGTCACGTGACGAATCACATTGCCTGGTTTCGTCCCTTTAAAACAAATCTCGCCAAGGGTTATTTGGCAGGTGCAATACACAGGTGATGCAAAAACAGACCATTCCGGGTGTCAGGTTGGTGTAGTGGATGGCGCGTTCGCCTGCCGTCCGGGGACTGCGTTCGATACCTAGTTTATCCGTTTTTCCGTCGGAGTGGGCGCTCGAACAACGAACTTGCAAGCAATGACGAACGAACAACAAAATATTGACAACAGTTACTGAGGAATAAGCAGACCTTACGTAGGAACGAAACAGGGGGAGAACGAGCAGCAAGGAAACAAAACGGCGTCATAATAAACGAGTGTAAGTCACTCATGAGTGGTCAGAAAACAAGGAGAATTACCGCTGCTCACCGTTATTCACAGGGGGAATCAACAGACATGATGAGCGAAAGTCCTATTTGAGGAGTCGCTACTCAGAAGACCGGTCAACTGATGGTTGAATTAAGTGAATCGAGTGACTGACAGATAACTCGCGTCACATCTCATTGAACTGCGGGCTAATTGAGCTGCTGGCCAGCGTTTCGTGCCAGAAAAATCTGGTTTTCATCTGCCAGCCAGGATGCCGTGGTTTCTACGGTTTAAGTCTCTCAATTTGGATGAAACACTGTTTTTGGCTTCAGCTGCAGGATGAAATCAAACTTATCCGTGATATGCAATTTTAAACAACAAACCCTGTTCGACGAGGGATTAGTAGAAACCGCGCCTATGTCCACACTTGATGAACGAAGTCTGATCGTATGTACAGCTTTTCAAAAACGCTTGTCAGAATATTACGGGATTCTGCGCTTTGGTCAGTGTGGCTACTAAAAAACCTGCCAAGTGATATGATGGCTATCATGCTACCCATCATCCCCTGGTTTTCTATGAATCTAAACTCAAGTAAGAGCAACGAAAGGATGTAACCACAAAGGAAGAATCTTAATGATGGTAAATTGTCGTACAGCATGTCATTCTAGTATTTGACGGCATGACCTGTGTTACGAGTTGGAAATGTGTGAGAACTGCACGCTAAGAGCACCAGCAGTCACTGCTAAGATGGCTCTCTGGTATCAACGTATAGTGTATTAGAAGGAACTGTGGGTGGCTATTGGCCATTGGCCGCGAAAACTGCATTGGTGATCATCCGTTTTAGAAATAGACCATTCAATCGGAAGACTGGGAGATTCCTGGAGGGTTGTGAGCAAATTCACAGCGTAAAAACTGTTTATTCAGGAACGATTCACCTCCTTAGGATGCTGAAAGATCATCTGAGCAAATATTAATGATGGTCGTGAACTCTCGAGGAGTTTTCAGCAACCTAGTTAGCAGTGTATTAAGTTTATACATGTATCACGATACTTCGAATATCATACCAACGGAAACACGAGGTGGCCCGATGCAGCACATTCAGTTTCTTTATAACATGACAAACGAGAAATTCAGCTGAATTCCAAGTTAGCCCGACGTCAAACAACAAACTGTTATGCAAATGGGTGTATTGGTCTAGGTCTGTTCAACTGAGGTTCAAATAAGGCATAAGGTTAACGGAAACTCAAGGACTGCGCCAACCTGACGAGCCCCAAGAAAGGCGAAACCGCTCGTGGGATTTCCAGGATATTTTAGCGACCTTATGAGTATTCCATTATTATAAGTGTGTTACATTCTTCCAGATTTATTGTGCCACCCAACCCATTATGGGCTCGGGTAGTCTGATGCATAAAACTGTCAATTTCCCTGTGTATAGTTACATATAACTGCAGGATAATTTTCTGAACGTTCCATGCCTGTTGTTTCGTCAGCGAAAAACGTGGGCAGCAGGTTTTAAATACTATGCTATAGTAGTGGAAAACATACTACCGTCAAAACTACATCTTGTTTGCGATTCACCCAACAAACTTGCTGCGTTGGTGGACTGTGGCTCCCAGACTGGTTACTTACGTGACACCCCAGTTTAAACTCCTGAGTACTTTTTACCTCAGAAGTGTGCTCTTTTCGGGAAAGGCAGATTCAGACAAATCAGCGAAGATTCAACAAAGGTTCAAAGGTTCAGCAAGGGTTCAATTCACCCATTAGCACCAAGTTACTTTGCAACTGGATGCTTATAGCCATATATGTGCAATTCGGCTATGAGGGAGAACGTAAGATTGATGAAAAAGCGGGTGCGAGACCTATATGTTAGGCACCAAGAGGGATGAAACTGGTGGTGGGCTTT